GGTGAATGGTCCAAATTCTTTTATCAAATTTCGAGGGATCCAGCCAAACCTTATCAAGAAGACACAGAAGAGTAGACAAGCACTCAATTTCCTCATCCCTTAACCCTCTACGGAAACCAAAATCCCAAGACAATGCTAACAAATTTAAAATCGACGAAAGGAATTTTGAAATCACCTCTTTTTTATACAAAGAAACAGAGTACAAAGAAGGAAAAAGGTCTTTTAGAGGGAGATCTCCAACCCAAATGTCCTCCCAAAACCGAATAGAATTACTAGAACAAGAATCATACCTGACACAACTGAGAAACTGCGGAAGAATTTTGTGAATTGCTTTCCATGGTGTGGCTAGGTTAGCCCTCCTTGATGTACCAGCATCCCAACCACTCTCTGAAACTCCATGAATACTCTTCACTACTTCGTGCCAGAGTCTATGTCGCTCCAAAGGCCACCTCCACAGCCACTTCCCTAACAAAGCTGAATTCTTTTTAAGCACTATCTCGAGCCCTAATCCTCCTTCCTCTTTGCTTCTACCCACAACCCCCCAATTAATTAAATGATCTTTTTTACCTTCTCCCGGTTCCCAAAGAAAATTTCTCATCAATTTTTCCAATTTCTTTGCTTCCCTAGACGGAATCCTAAAGACAGAGAGGTAATAGGTAGGTAGATTCATGAGGGTAGCTTTTATCAAAGTGATCCTTCCACCCAAAGAGAGAGAATTTTTCTTCCACACTACTAATTTCTTTTCGAACTTCTCCAAGACTAGGGTCCAGAACCTACTCTCCCTAGGGTTTGCTCCTAACAGAAGCCCTAAGTAGGACAAAGGCCAAGAAGAAATGGAACACTCAAGACACTCTGCAATCGCCTCAACCTCCTCAAAGTCTAGATTTACTCCGGCTATGGAGCTCTTTCCTAGATTGATTTTCAGATTGGAAACTCCTTCAAAAAATCTCTAATCAATTCTTTCAGGTTTTCCACCTTCTCATCGAGGCCTCCCTCACAAAAGATCATCAAGTCATCTCAAACTAAAGGTGAGTTACTGGAATTCTGATTGTGCCTACTCTCCATCCCCTTATCACATCTCCCCTATCAGCCCTAGTGATAATTCGACTTAACACATCAGATACCAGAGGTGAAAGTGGGTCCCCTTGTCTAATACCCCTACTAGCTGGAAAAAAATCTCTCACCACCCCGTTTACTAGGATAGAATAATGACAAGAGCAGACACAACCTCTAGTAGAAATTGCCAGTCCACCAAGTCATAGGCTTTCTCAAGAACAAACTTACAAACAAATCTCTGCTTGGACCACTTCATCTCTTCCACACATTCATTAGCAATCAGGATCTGATCAATTATCTGACGCCCTTGGATAAAAGCGCCTTGAGCCTGATTAATAATGGAAGGAAGGACTTCTTTAATCCTCAAAGACAGGACCTTGGCCAGGATTTTATAGATACTAGTCGCCAAACTAATTAACCTAAAATCTTTAGGATGGATAGCACCGGCTTTCTTTGGAACAAGGGCCAAGAATGTAGCATTAATGCTTCAACTAACTATATGCTTCTCTGCAAATTCATTAAAAACCTCACAAAGATCAACTTTTATCACCTCCCAACAATCTTGGTAAACAACCATTGTAAAACCATCTGGGCCTGGAGCTTTGGATCTATCCATCAAAAACATTGCCTTCCTAATCTCTTCTTCATCAAAACATCTTTTCAACCATCTAACCTGATCTTCCTCCAACCTTTGCCAATCTACCCCTTGTAATTCCATCCTCTCTTCCAAGCGTCTTTTATAAATCGATTTGAAATGATCCACAAACTTTCTGGCAATATCATCCACAAACTTTCTCCCCCTCTACCTCTAACTTAGACACAAAGTTCTTTCTCCTCCTCCCATTTGCTACATCATGAAAAAACTTAGTGTTTCCATCACCTTTCTTAATTCATCTATGCCTCGATTTCTGCCTCCAGCTTATTTCTTCCCTCATTAGGACCTCTTCTAGGTCCTTCTTCAACAGACCCCTCAGATCTCTCTCCCCCTCCTCCATTCTAGATTGGGCCTCTCTTTCATCCAACTCTTCTATCCCAGAGATTAGATTCACTTTTTGCTCCTCAAGTCTTCCAAAGTGTTCCTTGTTCCAATCCTTTATTTTGGCTCTCAACCTCTATAGTTTCTTGTGACATCTTACCCTTTTCCAACTTATCCCCCCCTCAATTCCTCATTCCACCAAAGCTTTACTTTATTTACAAAGTCCGAGTGGGTTAGCCACATATTTTCAAACCTAAAAGGTCTAGGTCCACTGATAAAGTCTTCCACACCTATTCTTATAGGACAATGATCCAAGGTTACCCTAGGCAAGGCTCTAGACACCAAGTCTCCCCAATAGTTCTCCCAATCAACATTAAAGATAAATATATCCAATTTCGACCACAAGGGAGTTTCCTGTAAATTAGACCAAGTAAATCGAGCTTGTAGTAACGGGATCTCCTTTAACTCACAATCAGCAATAAAGCTATTAAACTTTCTCATGCTAGTTGTGATGGTATGTTGGGAATTATTAGTTTCTTCAAAAAATCTTAACACATTGAAATCCCCTCCCAGGCACCAAGGGCCTTCCCACAAACCCTAAATTGCATACAATTCCTCCCACGTCATTCCTTTCTCTATAATTATTGGGACCATAAGACATCAGTTAAGACCCAAGCGAAGTCAACCTCTACATTCTTAAATTTGATGGAAATTGAGAACCTCCCTATTAACTCCTCCACTACCTCTACTACATCATCTTTCCAAAGAGTGACAATCCCCCTTGAGGCTCCCCAAGATGGGGCTGAAGTCCATCCTACTCCTCTTTAGTCACATGTTCGGTTAAGTGGTCATGTGACCTTCCTTTGGTCACGTGTTGATTTAAGTGGTCATGTGACCTAAGTTTCTTAGAAGTGGGCTTAACAATGGGCCCAGCTGAAATAAGTTCTCCTCTCTCCCTTGGCCCAGGAGAGGTAATAAGGTCCACTGGCTTAGTGCTCTTGCCCGACCCCACCTGAAGACTAGGCCCACCATCTCGACCCACCCCCAGTTCACCCATCTTATTTCTTGACCTAAGTTGATTTATGCATTCTTGATTCTACGAGCCACCTTTGTACCGAGCCCCTTGAGGCAAGGCCAAGCAAGTCCATGTTAGGGTCTTAAATGCCTAACCCCTACCAAAAAAAAAAGTTTACAATTTTAGTTTTATCTTTTAAAAATAACTTTTATTAGGATGAACGAATGAACAACATTAGCAAATAGGGGGTTCTCAAAGCTTGGGTGAGCAAGCGAAGAGGAAGGCTAGGCAAGACAGGACAAGTCCAAATCCAAAGCCAATGACTCCGAAAAAAAGTTGAAGGGCACTAACAATGGGCAATTAAGGTTTTTTCCAGGTTGAAAGATGGTCTCGTTAGTGCAGGTCCAAGTAGTAAGTTCAAGATGATGTCTAAAAGGAAGAGAATGTAAGACAAGGCTTGCTTGAATAGAGCAGAAATTGGACAGACTCCTTCAGCCCACACTCAAGAATGTTGTAAGATGTGATCTAGTTCTGAAGCTCATATTGAAGAAACTGTGGAAAGAGAGAAGGATTTGTTGTGGACGGAGGATGAATTAGAAGAAGAGATTGAAGATGGGGAAGAGGAAGAAGAAAAGGTGATTATTGATTGAGTTAGAAAAAATAGGAAAAAAAAGATAGAACCGGAAAAGATATTGGAAACTTAAGTTCAATTCTGCAAGTTGCTGGGATTATCTGTTTTAGAAGGGGAATATTTTACAAGAAAAAATGACTCAGGAATTAGAACTGAAGTATCTGTGAGTGAAGAAAGTCCTATTTCGAAGTGTTGATTTGTTGAGGGTTTTGTAAGGGTTGTATTTGGTTGGGGTTGGGARTAATTTTTGGGTCCTAGAGGGGAATGGGTAATGAAAGAAAGTTTTGTATTTGATCCTAAGGGTTTTTTATTGTTGTGGGTGATATCTTGTCACCGCCTTTGTACCTGTTTCTTATTTTAATTTTTATTTTTTATTTATTACAAAAAATATATTTCATGGCCTACTAAGATGTTACTGCAATTACCAAAAA